TTCCTGAGCTGAAAATAAACACACACCCAGAGTCTTCAGCTCCTGACTCATCAAGTCTCCCACAGGAATAAATAGTGAATAGACCCTTAATGAAGTTCTCCTCTCATTGAGCCGTCTATCAGCTCTCTCTCTTTCTCAGCCATTACTCCCCAGGATCTCTCAGCTCACATACACAACTTATGTCTGACGTCCATGAACGTGACTCAGTGCCCATGAGTCATTCTAAAAGCAGGGATGAAAAGAGGAGGAGAAAAGTTGTGGTTGCATAGAGGCAGAGGCAGATGTTGAAAAGCTTAAACAGGAGCCGGAGGCAATGTTGGAGGCAGTTTAGGGCAGCTCACACAAGAAGGCAGTCTCTGGAGAGACAGACATGGTGACATTGTTTTAGGCCTGTTTCACACATACTGTGAGTAGCACATATTCATTTTGGCATCTTAATAGTTTACAGCATTCACACTTAGAAGTATCTCAGACATGATTCTGAAAGTAGAGTTTTTGTATTATATTGGCCATCTGGCACATGCTGAACTCAGCAGAAAACATGTTGTAATGCACAGTTAACACTATGTTTTGAAAAATAGGCTTTTTGAAGCAACATACTGTTCTTACCTATTATTTGAAGAAAAAAATTATGTTCAGTAAAGCCTGGCGTACACGGTGCATTTTTTGCTGTCGTACAAGCTTGTACGCAATTTTTTTCCCATAGGGAGAAATCGCATGGATATCATTGCTGCTCGTATGGTAGCCGAGCCGAGTGCCTCACGAGCCCCTGATCATGTCTCGTATCGATATTATGCGGTTATAAGAGAGAGAGAGAGAGCAGTTTTATTTAAATGTACTACATATAGGTTACACAGTTATTATACAGTTATACAGTACACAGTTATAGGTTACACAGTTATTATATGCTGCCCTTCTCTCAATTCAGTTCAATGCATGTCATTACATCAAGGGACTTCATGCAATTGCTTCGTAATTCGGTCGTAAAATTGTGTCGTATATCACTGTGTCCGTACGATTTTCAGATAAAATCACTCGTGACACGTGCGTGGACATATGATCCTTCGACCATCAGAATTCGCACCGTGTATGGCCGACTTAAATCTGGCAGAATCCAGATGATTTAAACAGTTTATAGCCACAGTTTTGGGTTTGAATGAAGTTCAGTGTAGTTTAGTTACCTAATTTATCTTTGGTCCCTGTCACGAATTCAGTCCATGGACTTCTGTTTATTCACCACCAGAGGTCACCCTTTCCATTTCATTGACTCTCGCACTACACAAACTGTTGCATAGCACCCCGGACTACATTTCCCATCATTCTTTGCACAATTTGCACACTGCCCTGATTGCACTCATTGCACACAGCTGTTTCTAATTACCTCATTCACTATATAACACCCACTCTAACCACATTTCTCTGCTGAGTATTGTTTAGCCTGCACCCCTTTCCGAGTCTCCCTTGTTTTGCCTTGCCTTGCCTGTTTTTGCGGTTTTTGATCTTTGCCTGTTTCCTTGGATTTCTCCCTCTCGTCTCGCCCCTTTGATTCTGTCTGCTGATCGGTGACCTACGCTAGCCCTAGGACTATTCTTGTGTTTTGCCCGCCATATACCTGTTTGCCATTGTTTTGACCCTGCCTGTGTACTACGTCTCTTTAATAAAGCCTGCAGATGGATCCACATGTCTCACGTCTCGTTAGCCCCGTTACGGTCCCGTTCCTCAAGTAAATTTTTTAACATAATCAGGTTTTTAATAATTATTCCAAGGGCTGCATAATTAATCATATTTTAACTGTGGTCACGATTTCTGCTTCTTGATTAAGCATAATCGCCTGCAATATAATTATCAGTTTAACGATTATCGTGTAGCCCTAATACTTCTGATAACCAGTTTATTCTTTATGGCCGTTATTAAAGAAAGTAGTGTGTGTTAATAGGTCAGGAAACAGAAAAGTGAAAGTGATAACATATTCAACTTCTCTTCTCTGTCTACATGGCATCACTAGGTTCTGTCATTCAGAAACATGGCTTTTCATATCACTGCTATGCTGATGACACTCAACTCTACCTCTCATTCCATCCTGATGATCCGACAATAGCTGCTCGCATCTCCGCATGTCTAACAGACATTTCTTGTTGGATGACGGGCCATAACCTTCAACTCAACCTGGCTAAGACAGAACTGCTTGTGGTTTCAGCAAACCCATCACTTTATCAAAATTTCACTATCCAGTTAGGCTCATCAAACATAACTCCTTCAAAAACAGCTAGACACCTTGGAGTTGTAATTGATGATAAGCTGAATTTCTCAGACCACATTGCTAAAACTG